GGGGGAGGGAGGGAGACCACCTCGAGGAGGAGAACGCGGCTGTCGCGGAGGCGGTGAGGCTCCTCCAGCCGATGCCAGAGGAGTGCCCTGCAGAGAAGGCGGAGGACGAACCTTCCACCGCCGCCACCGCAGCTGCCGCTGCTGCCGCCGCCGCCGCCGCCGCCGCCGCCGCGTGGCGCGCTGCGCGGCGGCGCGGCGGCCGGATGACTGCGGCGAAGAGGTCGTTGGACGCGTCCATGGCGAGGGCGGGGCCGAAGGGCTGCGCCGCCGCCTCCTCCTCCAGCGGGACGATGCCCCCAAAGAGCCAGAGCACGTCGGAGCCGGGCGCGCCGCAGGCCGCGTGGCTGTGCCGGCGGCCGGGCCGGTCGCCTGAGGGTGGAGGCGGCTCTCCGTCACCCCGCTGCTCCCCTCCCAACTCGCATCCCAACTCGCATCCCGCGCGTGCGGCCAGTCGCACCCTTCTCGAGCAGCGACCCCGCCGGCAGCCAGCGCCACGCCTCCGGCTCGCCGGCAGAGCAGTCGAGCACAGACAAGTCGGAGAGAGCGCCGTCCGCGCCGCAGTTGCCGCCGTACAGCGCGACCGTCGTCCCGGCCGCGCCGGCGGAGTGTGCCCACCTCGGAGAGGGGCACCCCTTCCCCTCGAGGGCAACCCACCGCAGCGGCCGCCGCATGCAACCGACCCCCCGCCTCTGCTGCCGCTGCGAGTCGCCGCCCGCCTCGTCGGAGACGGCGCCCGCGATCAGCGCGTACGAGTCCGAGTGGAAGACGTTCCCGTTGGCGCCCCCGTGGACGACGATCGCGCGGCCCGCGCCGGTGTCGACGGCGACGGATGCCTGGCCGCCGCGGTCGGCCGGCGGGAGGCCATCTGCGGGCGTGCGGACCCAACGCGGCGAACGGAGGGTCTCCATGCCGCGACACAGGCGGCGAGCCTCGTCCGGGCACACGCGCTCCCACGGAGAGTGCGGGTACCGCTCCTTGAGACGCTTGAGCCAATTATCGCGCACGGCCGGACCGAGCGTGGAGGAGACGCACGCAAGAGCCTCGAGCGCCTCGTCGGTGCAGTGCGAGAGCACCAGCCCGACAAGCTCGGGTGGGAGCAGTGTGAACTCGGCCCGCATGCCGAGAAACGTCGCGGGCTGGCCGAGGCGAAGCTATGTCGGCGGTGAACGCGGAACGACGGCGGCGAGGCCGTCCTGCCGCCTGTGGCTGGACCGTAAAATGAACGAGAGCCAGGATTTCTTCTTTTGTGAGAGGGGCTTGAATGGTGATCTGTGATCTGTAAGGGTCCGCCCGCAGGCGCATTTTGTATACCGAGGCGGTGCCCGGTGCCGAACCTGTCGGACCTTAAGACAGCATTGTAGATCCCTGGGCGAGGGTGGTGGCGTCCCCGTCGGGAGGGAGGGGCTGTCTGGCGGAGGAGAGCAACCAGGTGCCCGGCGGCGTCCCGCCACATCCGGATGACCTCTCCTCGTTGTGCCAGTCAGCCCCGTTGGAGGTAGACCGCTCGTCTAGCCAATCAGCCTTAAGCGAGCGGTCTGGCCGTTGGAATGGCCGAGTTTGGTTGACTTGCGTCCTCGCGTCCGATCGTGGTTGTACAAGCAGCATTATGAACAAGTTACCATCTCCACGACACACTCGGGGAGGGTAGGGCTTGAATGGTAGAATTCTTCTCTCTTGGATTTGCGCGTGCTAGCACGCTGCATGCCACGCATCACGCTGCGCGTCGGCGAGCAATCGAGCAACGGAAGGCTCGCCGGCTTAATCTGGCTTTTTTGACGGCTTTTTTGGATTCTCCTGCAGCCTTCCTAGTACCCGCATTAATTATCGATCGTGTACGTTATAGTCATTATTTATCGTGGACAAGCCCATCCACCGACCGTCGCGCGCGAGGGGGGCCGCCCCCCTTTGCCCCACCAATACGTTTGCCTTACTTACCTTACCTTAGTCCTTACCTTGCCTGGCGAGAGAGTACCCCTTTACGCTTTAGCTCTCCTATCTTAGGACAGCGAGTTAGACAGCGAGGCCGAGGGCCTGGAGAACACCTCGTCCGCCCGCGGCTGGCCCCCGATCTTCTCCGCCTTGCTCTTTGTCAGCCGCAAGCCGCCCGTGTCCGAGTAGAAGTCCTCCGCCGCCTGCAGCCACCGCCAAGTCCCCGCCACCCTCCACCAGCTCGCCGGCTCGCCATCGACGCCCACGATCTCAAATTTGGTCGCCTCGTGGGTAAAGGTGAGGTCGTCCACCGGGTCGAGGATGGAGATGGTGCCCGGACCGGCTCGCATCTGGCACCGCGGTTTCACGAACGACGAACGTAGTGATCGCGTTTTTACGAGTGATGGTCGTCCTTTGGCGGAAAAAGGCGAGCGTGAAAGTCATGGGGCACGTGCCCAGCCAGCGTGAACACCATGACGTTGGAGCCGATCCGCCTCCACTGGCGTTTCTTTTCAGCTTAAAGTTTCGAAGACCTTCTTTCTCCCTTTCGCACATTCGCAGTAGGAAGGCGGAAATGAGCGGGTGGCTCGATGTTTGCTCGGTGATCCAGCTTTATTTAGAGAGAGATTTGAAAACCAACAAGAAATCACGACTCTCACAGTGATTTGGGTGGGGCGAAGCTGGGTGCGTGTGGCCGTGGGGCCGGAGAGAGATTTTTAGCAATACCAAACAAACAAAGTGTTGTGCGGGGGTCGGTCCCGTATTATAGCCGAGAGCCCGCGCCGATGAGTTCGACGCGGTCGAGGTCTCTTCTTTATTTAGTTAGGACTCCTAGTTGGAGAGGTGAAGACACAAACACGGATCACGGTTCTCTCTCTAGGTCTAGCAGGGATGCGCCAAATCTACCCTCCAACCGAGCTCCCTCGGTCGGTGGCGTGCACCTCGATCGATCCTGGACCGTGTATGTAGGAAGGTGAAGAACAGTCAGGCTCGGACTGGATGGACACCAACGGCGCAACGCCGTATGGGTGGACGCTGTTTGTTATGACCCCCCCCAATGAACACACCGCGAGGGAGGGCGAGACGATCGAGGGGTCCGTACCCTGCGGAATCGGCCCTATCCCAGTGCAACAGGTTAGGTTAGGTAGGAAGGTGCAACAGCGCAGCAGCAGGAAGCCGGGAGTTTTTCGCGCCTCGCTTGACCGAATAGCCCGAGAGTTTGGACGGTCAACGCGTTACCGCTGTACTCCCCGCCTCTTGCGCCGCGAGCGTGGCCGGAGCTCGTCCTCTCCGTCGGCGTCGGCGGCGCGTGGCATGTCCCTTCTCCTCGCGCCGCTCCAATGCTCGTACTCGCCGTCGGCATCGAGGCGCGACGCTGAAGGGCGCGTGGGAGTCATCGTCGTAGGCGCGGGATGGGCGGGCATGGCGGCTGCCGACACGCTCGCTCGCTCCAACGTCAGCTTCCTCGTTCTCGAGTCCACCAACCGCACCGGCGGCCGGACGCACTCGGTCCCGTTCGGCGACCCTCGCGTCTGGTCGGGCGTCGTGGAGCGTGGAGCCAACTGGGTCCAGGGCGTGGGCGGTGGAGCCGCTGGCTCGAGCAGGAGCGCCCCGCGTGCCCCGGTCGAGAACCCGGTGCACGCTCTGGCTCGGCAGCACGGGCTGCGGACGCGACGGATCTGGGGGAGTGGAGACGGCAACATGTCCGGCTATGACGCCGTCTACACCTCGGACGGCGACGCTCACGGAGACCCCGGCGGAGAAATTCGGAGGTGGGCAAACACGGCGCTCGACTGCCTCAACGCGACTGCCGTGGCGGCGAGCGACGACATGAGCGTGCGCGACGGGCTGAGAGCGTGCGGCTGGCGCCCGCGAAGCGAGGTGGAATGGGCCGTCGACTGGGCGATGAGCGGCGAGGACGCCAACGGCGAGCTAGCTCGCCACCAGTCCCTCCGCTCGTTTCTGCCGGACGAGGGCTACACGTGGTGGGGCCCGCACGACGACTTTGTGATCGACCAGCACCCGCGGGGCTTCGCACGGCTGATCGACGCCATGGTGCAGGACGTGATCCCGCCCGGCGACCCGCGCATCCTCCTCAACGCGGAGGTGGTAAAGGTCCGCTACGGCTGCGAGGGCGTCACGGTGACCACGCGCGACGGCCGCGTCCTCTCGGCGGAGCAGGTGATCTCCACGCTCCCGCTGGGTGTGCTGCAGCGGCGGCACGCGTCCCTCTTCGACCCTCCGCTGCCGGCGCCGCAGCGCGAGGTGCTCGAGTCTCGCGGCATCAGCATGGGGAACCTCACGCACGTGGTCGTGCAGTTCCCGCGTGTCTGGTGGGACGACGGGATGCTCAAGTGGCTGAGCGCGAACCACGGCTCCAACCAGAGCCGCGGCGAGTTCTCCCTCTGGCACAACCTGAACCACGCGTCGCTGCTGCCCGGCTCGCAGACCCTCCTCACCTTCCTCGGCGACCCGCAGTCGAGCCTGTACGAGGGCATGGCCGACGCCGACGTGCGGGCGGCACTGATGCGCCGGCTGCGCGCGCAGCACCCGAGGACGCGGATCCCGGACCCGCTGTCCTTCTTCATCTCGCGCCACGGCTACGATCCAAACACGCACGGCGCCTACTCCTTCTTCGAGCCGGGCTGGCGCGACAAGTACTTTGCCACACTGACGCGCCCGCTGGCGGCGCGGTGCGGCGCGGCGCAGGGCGGGGAGGAGGTGGTGCGCGTGAGGCTCGCGGGCGAGGCGATGTGCGACGACCTGAGCGGCTACACGCACGGAGGCTACCAGTCGGGCCGCGAGGCGGCGGCGGCCTACCTGCACGGCGCGGGAAAGGGGCCCGACCCGAGGGACCACGACGAGCTGTCGCTGTGCAACTGGTAGAGTGTGGGGGAAGTAGAGGAAGCAGGAGGCGGGCGGCGGGGGTAGGACAGGTATCGGCTGCCAGCGCACGGCGTGTGTAAACTCACCTCAATTGTACCATTTGCTGTGGCGTTGTGATTCAGTCAAGTTGTGTGTTTTTGTCGATTGTCGTCAGAGATCGATGTGAAAAAGGTCTTGACGCACCGCAACGACTGTTGAGAGGTCCAGCAAAAAGAAAATCCACCTGCCGACGCCGTCCTCGAGGCTGCGGCGGCCCATGCGGCTGCGGCCGATGCGGAGTGGCTGAATAAGGCGACGCCCTCCATTGCAGAGTCGGTCGGCAAGAATGCTGGGCTTTCTCCCCTTTACACCCTTCACCATCAGCGCGAGCACTGTAGTCGTCGTCGTGGGACTCTGCGGCCTCCTCGGCTCGCATCGAGTGCTGCGCTGGCCTCTGCTGCTCGTCGCTGGCGCTCACATCGCGGTCGCGCTCTGCGCTGTTGCCGCGTTGGTTGCCACCCTCGCGGCATGGGATGCGCTCGTGGCGCGCTTCCGCCTCGGCCGCGCCGAGTCGAAGCTGTTTCAGAGGCTCGACGCAGCGACGAGCCGCGCCGATTTCTTGGAGGCGGCGAAGCAATGTGACGAGTCGGCGGCGGTGACGGCGTGGCGCGCCGTGGCCGAGCACCCGCGCTACAATGCCGGGATCGTAATGAGCGCTCTCTCACGCCTACGTGCCGCGCGGGTCGGGGGCAGCATCGAGGAGCTCCACGACGCCTTGGCACACTGCGTGCGCAAGTCGTTTGCGGGCATAGACGACGAGGAGCTGTACTCGCGCTGCCACGCAGGCACCAAGCGGCTCATCGAGTCCTACGTCGACGAGGTGGTGGCCGCGCTCGGCGCCCTGCAGACGCGGCTCAGCGACGACGGCGAGGCGCCGGCCCTCGACAAGGCCCGCGCTCTGCTCTGGCGCAGCCGGCGCGTCTTTGGCCGCACCTGCCTCGCGCTCTCGGGCGGCGGCGGCCTGGCAAACTTTAGCTGGGGCGTCGCCCGCGCGCTGCTGGACGAGGGCCTCCTGCCGTCCCTCATCTGCGGCACCTCTGCCGGCGCGGTGGTGGCCGCGGCTCTCTGCTGCCACACGGAGCGCGAGCTCGACTCGCTGCTCCGGCCAGAGGCTCTGGCGGCGCAGCTGACGAGCTTCGAGGAGGAGCGGCGGGTGGTGCTACGGCGGGCGCTGCTGACGGGGCATATGTACGACGCCGCGCGCTGGGCGCCGAAGATCCGCACGCTGTGCAACCACGCCAAGCACCCGCACATGACCTTCGCCGAGGTGTTCTCTCTCACCGGCAAGGAGCTCTGCATCACCGTCACCGCGCGGCGGAGACACGAGCCCCCGCTCGTCCTCTCGCGCCTCTCCTCGCCCGACGTGACCGTGGCGTCCGCCGTCCTCGCCACCGTCGCCATGCCCTTCCTCCTGCCGCCGCAGCGCCTGCTCTGCAAGACGCCGAGCGGCGCGCTGCAGCCGTGGGCGGCGGCGAGCGAGTCGGACGGCGGGGCAGAGGTGGAGTCCGGGCCGGACGCGGGAGGGGAGTGGCGCGACGGCTCCATCGTGCACGACACTCCGCGCGAGCTCCTCGCGCAGCACTTCGGCGTCTCGTACACGCTCACCTCCCAGTGCAACCCGCACGTCGTCCCGCTCGCTCTCGCACTCCGCCCCACCGCCGGCCGGCCTGCCGTCTCTCGGCTGCAGCGCGGCCGCAGCGACTGGCGGGGCGGCTTCGCGCTCAGCTCGCTGCTGCTGCTCCTGCTGAGCGAGGCGCGCAAGTGGCTAACGGTGATGCGCGAGCTCGAGCTGCTTCCGCTCATCCTCGACACCGACTGGTCGTCGCTGCTGCTGCAAGACTTTTCGGGCGAGGCGACCATCCTCCCGCCGATGGAGCTCGCAGACTACACGCGCGCCCTCTCCGACCCGACCGCCGCAGACATGCAGCGCTACCTTGGCATCGGCCAACGGGAGTGCTGGCGGAAGATGTCGATGCTCGCCACGCGGCTGCGGATTGCGCGGGCCCTGCAGGAGCTGCAGGCTGCCGTGCTGGAGCGGGGCGGCGAAGCAAAGGCGGGCGATGAGCGCGAGAGCTCAATGTTTTGACACATTCCGCGGCGGGGCCCGGTTTGAGATGTGGTATCAATGTGGACCATGTGGTGTGAGAGTCTGCTCGAGTCTCGTAGTCGTAGCGGCTCGTACGTGTGTGCTCTGTCATGTGAAATTCGTGGACTACGAAAAAAGATGTATAGCTCTTGCACGCGCCGTGCCACGTGCCACACAAAAGGTACATAACAGGCACTCAGGGCGCGAGGGTGTCAGGCGCATCCTCTGCCATATCCTCCTCCGCGTCCAGTGCGTCCTCGATCTCGCCGACGAGATCCTCGACAACGTCGCCCACGCTCTCCATCTCCTCGTCCGACGGCACGGTATAGCTCCCGTCGGGCCCACACCGCCCAACGACGTAGACGGGGTCGAGCATCCGCAGCACGAAAATAGTCTTGCCCTCGTGCACGAAGTCGGCAAGTACCACCATGTCCTCGTCGTCGCTGCCGTCGAAGCTCGGCGCCGCGTCCTCGATGAGCTCGTAGTCGCGCTCGACGGCCTCGCCGCTCGCCGTCAGCACCACCGGCGTGTCGTGCAGCTCCGCGCCCACCGCGCGACACGCCGCCTTCGCTGCCGGTAGCAAGGTCGTTTCGAAGGCAGGGTCGAGCGGCTCGAGTGTCCCTTCGGACTGCGTGGCGAGCGTCGCGGGCGCGTTGGCAGGGTACAGCGCGGCGTATGTCGTCCCCTCCACATCGACCGTTCCCGCCACAAAGCACGGAAGCACGCGGCCGCCTCCGGCCTCCTCCAAGTTGACGCAACCGGCATCGGAGAGCTGCGGCGAGGAGCGCACGCCAACGAATGGGCGCGAGATTGGCGTGCCCACTCGAAGGCTCGGGCAGGGCTTACATGTGATTAGGAGGAGCAGCGCGGCGGATCGCGTGACCAGTGGTGACATCTGAGGTGACTACGTGGCGCCTGTATCGTCCCCTTCTTTTTTTATCTTCTGCAAAATAAAATCAAGCCGGCTGTGGATTGTTGATACAGGGTTTGGGAAGAGGCGCAGTGTCGAGCAGTGAGGGAGTCTCGGCCCGGTAATCTGAACCACGTAACGGCTTTCTGGCTTTCATGGCGCTCGCCCCTTTATCTCGGCTGCAAGGCCAGATTCACCGTCGCATCGAGGAGGCCGACGAGTCGCAGTCGCGGCTACGAGACGACGCGCTGAAACTCGCCGAGCAGGTGCAATGTCTGAGCGCCCGAGCCACCGAGCTGGCAGCGGGAAAGGAGGAGCTCTCCGTTGTGCTCGAGAGGCAGCGGCGTCAGCATGAGGCGGCGATGAAGCGGCAGTGCGAGGAGTCTGCGACTGCCCTGGCAGCAGCCGAAACGGCACTGCGGCAGAGCGAGGCCCGCGGCAAGGCGCGTGTCGATACGGCCCTGAGTGCCATTATCGTAAAACCACAGGACTCCTCTCCTACGCCCCGCAGGAGCAGCAGGAGGCGCTAGACCGCTCTCTCGCTCGCAGCCGCCACCTCGAGCGGCGTCTCAGCGCCTCCAACAAAGAGGCGCGCCACACGGGGCCACACGGAACACGGGTACTGCACACCGGCGATCTGCAACACACGGATCCATCACAGGTCGCGAGGCTGCGGGAGGAGTTGCAGCAGTTGCAGCCCCAGTCATCACGGACGCCTCCGTCCTCTCCGATCCACACGAGCGACATCGAGCGATCCAAGCGCGTCGCCGCAACCGTGATCTTTCCGACTGAAGTCGCAGCCAGCCCGCAGAGCTTGCAGCCGCCAACTCTGAGCCCGAGACTGACCCCGAGGGTGCGCGAAGTCGCTTCTGCGAGAGGTGCGCGGCTGGCAGCCGATCAGCCGACGGGGACGCCGCGTGCACTGCGACGGGAGCCGCCGGGACGAGCCGCTGCCTCAGCGAGTGCCGCAGAGCAGGAGTCTAGCCCAGTGTCCACGGAGCAGCAGGGGCAGGTTGCAGGCGAGATCGCTTCTCGGCCAACGACGCCGCGATGGATGCTTGCACGCCCGTGCTCGGCCCGCATGAGTGGCGCTGCAAACAGTACAGGGACAGAGGACGGCGCGGCTGCAGGGCATTCGAGCGAGTCGGGGTGAGGAGAACCCGGGGGGCGCGCAGCAAGTGAATGTATTTTTATGTACATCAATGAATAGGGTTGCCTAACGTTAAGAGCTGAACAGTGTTGCTAGTGTTAACAGTAACAACAGAACAACAGTGGGGCCCCCCAACAACAGTAGCTAACGTTAGGCCGACTGAACAACAGTAAGGAAGGCCTGGCAGTGACCCACGACGATCTCTAGTGTCCAGTGCGGGTAATACCCGAAAATACCCGGAAAATCCCAGGTATTTTCGGGTTTTACCCGGGTTTTTTGCCATTTTCTGCTTGCTGACCACTGAACAACAGTAACAACAGTAACAAACAGTAACAGCATGGTCTGGGGTGAACACTTGAACAACGTTGAGGATTTCAGCCAACACTAGCGCAACTGTTTTAGGCCCAAAGTTAACGTTAGGCAACCCTATCAATGAAACCTGGACCTGTTCCCTTTTACCCATCTCACAGTAGAGGTGTCCGTTTTTATTTATTTATTTATTTAAACGACGACCTTGGTGCTTGGACCTGTAGCAGACCTGTAGGCGCGCGCACCGTGCGAGACGCGAGAGAGCCACACGAGCGGTCAGAGAGAGAGTACAGCTACAGAGAGAGCACTCCTGAGCGCATGCAGAGAGAGAGCGAGAGACAGCGACTGCGAGCCCGCGCCATGGCCCGCGCGGAGCCGCGCTCTCCCACTCGATCCCACCGACAGCGAGAGGCCGAGAGACGCTCGGCCTCGGGGCCCGAGCGCCGAGGGGCCCCACGGGGTCGGCGCGGCGCCCCACGGGGGCCCCCGAGAGCCCAGAGCGGCCCCCCGACCGGGCCCGTGTGCTTGATTTTAAAAGCATGACATGTACGAGGAGATACCAGACGCTAGCTACTGTCGGAGTCCGAGCTGCTGCCGTTGAAGAAGGAGCTCAGCCGCACCGGCCCGCCGCCCGACCCGCCGTCCTTGCTCTTCTTCTTCTTTTTCGCGTCCGCCGAGTCCGAGTCCGAGTCCGACGCGTCCCTCCGCCGCTTCTTCTTCTTCTCCCTTTTCCGCTTCTCCTTCTTCTCCTTCTTTCCCTTCTTCTCCTTCTTGCTCCGCTTCTCCTTGGCTGACGAGTCGCCCTTGCCGTCGCCCATCCTCGCTGCGCGCGCCTGCGGTGGGTGCGGGGTTCGGGTGCCACTTTTGTGCGGCCTTCACGTCGCGTAGCGGCGGTCTTCAGCAGGCGGCCAGAGGCGCACAGGTGCAGGCGCGGCGTCGCGGATGCGTTCGCTCAAGCGTCTCTCCGATCGCAGACGCGTCTAGTGGTGCGCGCCTCGTCCAGCTCCTTTCGGAAGCGGCGCTGCGCCTCCTCCTGCAGGCGCGTCTCGTCGCCATCCATCTCGCCCTTCTTGCGCAGCGTCTCCTTGAACTCGTCCCATGTCTGCCTCTCGGGCGCGTTGATCAGACTGTTGAGGCGCTCCTGCTCAAACACCGAGCTGTGGAAGGGCTTCTCGCCCTCCTCGACCTCGGCGTCGACGGGCGCCGATGGGCGCTTGACCGGCTTATTGTTGTTCTTCCCCTGCGTGGGCGAGAGCGGCAGCGACGTTGGGATCAGCGGTGGGCGAGAGCGGCGGCTACGGCGCAAGAGAATGGCGGCTGCACCATTCCTTAACAAAAGAAATCGGTGGGATGCCCCACTCGATCAATCTGGCGGAGCAGTTTTGCCACTTTGTCGACCCGGAGACGGACTTGAGGTGCCCCAAGCGGCTTCGTTGCGCGGGCGAATGGGGTTGCTCCAAGCACATTCACCTGGCTCCGGCGCACCTGCTCGGCCTCGGGCCGGCGCTGGCCATCCCGCATCCGCGACGCGAATCGCGAGAAGAACAGACTGGCCGAGGAGAGAAAGAGGCGAGCCCGCGGAGCCCCCGAGATGCCGCGGCGAGGAGGGAATTTACTCGCGCCGGGCGCGGACAAGAGGCAGCGCACCCCGCTTCCCTAGCCCGCGCTTCGCGGCGGCGGGCGCGGCGGGTGCGGCGGCGGCGGCGGTGGCGGCAGCTCAGGCGCCGCAGCCGGCTGCTCTGCCGCCGGGGCCACCGGCTTCCCTGCCGGCGCCTCCGCCTGCGGCGGCTGCCCCGCAACCGCCCGCTGCCCGACCGACGAGGCCGCCCTCGGGCACGGCGTGCCCCGGGCTTTTCTGCCTTCACCAGCGCCTCCTTTGCCGACGCCGCCGCCGCCCACGGCATTCTCGCACGACACTAGGCACGGGACTGGCGCGCACTGGCACTAACTAAAGGATTCTTGAAGCCAAGCCTCTCTCACAGCACACTGGCACGACAAGGGCGCAGACTGGCGCGGACTGGCACACACACCGGCTCACCACCGGAGCCGCCTAAGGGGTGAAATTCTCAAAAAGGTGCAGCACTTCTAGCCGACATCGACAAAAGTCCCTCTCTAGCCCCGCGGCGAGCGGCCCCGCCGGAGGCGAAGAAAATTTCGCCATCTAGCGCTCGCAACACATAGATTTGTGCATAAATCAACACCTCCAATCTTCGGGGGAGTGACGGATAAAGGCGTGCGAAAGAGCTAATGAATCCGAAAGCAGCGAATCCAAGTGATGGCCCGCCGCAGGCGAAGAAAATTTAGGGTTGGGGTTCCCCTATGCCAAAGAACTCTTATTAGAGGATTTCGGCGGCCGGCGCGCCGAGGCACAGCGGTTCGCGCTGCCTGCTCGCGCTGGTTACACCGTTGCTGTGGCCGTCTTCGTCCGTATTGTACACCGAGCTGGCGCCACAGCAGAGTACAACAACGGCTCGGACTAGCTGCTCCACGGTACTACATCATCAGAGGGCCCGGCAAGGTCCACGGCGGAGCTGGCGGTGGTGGGAGTGGTGGTAGGAACGAAGGCGCACCTGTCGGCGATTCACCGCCGTTCGTTCCCGTCTCTCAAAGCTGGTTACACCGTCGATGCGCACATCGAGGCGCTCGTGGACGAGAGAGACGTCGCCTCCTCTTTCGTCCCGGGGCACTGTTCACGCCGGAAGGCCCCGTACACTGCCAAGTACATTAGCCTTCATCTCTCCTACCGCCGGCCGGGAGTGCAGCCGCCACCAGTGAGATTGTCCTCGACGTTGGCACCTGCGAAGTAATGAACAACAGGCAGTGCGTCATATGGCGCTATGATAGCCCTGCGGTGGACGTCCTCGACGCAGACGAGGCGGAGCTCATCTGCGCGGCGCAGATCGCCGACTGTCTCTCCCTCCCTGCGCGAGTGGTTGCACCACCCTGGATGAGGCATCTGGGCTGGGGCAGGGCCGTTAGTAGAGGAGGGCGACTGAGGGCGCGAGGCCGCCAATCGTCAAAGTCTGCTGCGACTGACTGTCGGTCACTGACTGAGCAATGAGCAATCGCATCGGCGGTTTCACTCACGCTCACAATCGGGTTACATCCAGGTCTCTGTGCGGGATGTGCTGGGGGGCTGCCCCCCAGTCGATTGCCGCATAGTTCGTCGATGTAACCCTACCAGAAAGCTGTATTCACACCTACCCTTCCAAAAAAAGAAATGTCCCTGCTTTTGTCGAAGATCCGGCGGGTTTATCGGAGCATCACCCTAAGCGACTCCGTTAAGAGCGGCAATGCACTCCGCACCGTGCACAATGCCGCGCTCTCCCCGGACCCTTTACAAAAAAATTAGACAAAACACACACACATGCATGCACAGACTGTCCCACAGACACACAGCCCCTTCCCCTTCCCCCTCAAGACCTCAAGGTAGGAGCGACGAGGACATGCGTAGGCCGCACCTCTAGCGAAGCCTTCAGAGTGGGAGACTCCTATCACCGCCCCTGCCACCCTCGGCGTGTGCCTCGGCCACCCCTGTCAGTGTGCCCGTGATAGCGAGAGACTGCCAGTGAGAAGCCGGAGGAAGGTCGCTGGTCGAGAGAGATCGCCGTGGCAGTGGAGTCCACCGTGCTGCGAACCTGTCGCTGTCCCTTGTCAGGAGCAGGAGAACTAGGAGAGCGCAACCAGTAGGAGGCCCGCGCCTGCCCCCGTGCCGCCTGGTGCAAGTTTGTCCTATATACGAGAGGGGAATCCCTGGGACCCTGTCGTGTGGGTGAACCCTGCCCAGCCCCCCTCCGTGTCGCGATGCGCTCCCCACTCCCGTTCCCCTGTGTCCCTGATCGTCCTTACAAGATCCTGCTCGTGCAGGTGGGGACCCTGTCCTCCTCCCATCCCTCGTAGCTGTCTGTTTTCTTTTTGGGTAATTTGGGGGGGGGGGATCCACGCGCTCGACACCGTTTGCTGCGTAAGTAAGCCAGGGTCTACGACACCGTCCGTTGCTGCGGAAGCCAGGCGTCGCAGCGTCGAGCGACATGGACCAACAGCGACCCCGCCGACTGAAATGGAGAAGAAGAAGAATCTCTCTTTCTGAATGAAATGGGCCCCGAACAAGAGTCCTTCATCAATTTGCCTCGGCTCGGGTTTGCGGTTCCAGGCAACAAAGAATTCTTTATATCACAGCCCACTGGCACAACAACGGACTGGCGCACACACACACCGGCACGATCTGAGCCGAAGAGCGCCAAGGAAGAAAACGTGCGCGCTGGTTGTCGGACGGCGCTCGGCCGCCGCCCCGAGCTCGCCTCGAATCGCACCGCACGCGATGGCATCGCGGCTGTTCGGCAAAGCTACCCCGAAGGCTCCTGCGCCGACCACCGCCGATATTTCACAAAAGCTTGGCGCGAGCGCGGAGGGGATCGATGGAAAGATTCAGAAACTCGAGACGGAGCTCGCGCGCTACACTTCGCAGGCGCGCGGCGCTGTCGCGGCGTGGGCGGGGGAGAGACCGCGACCGCTGGCCTCTTCGCCTCGCCGAGCGCCAGCATCGCAGCTCCACTCCTGAACCTCAGCTGACGCTCGTTCTTCACCGCCGGCTGCCCCTCGCAGATGAAGAACATGAAGGACGGACCCGCCAAGAAGCAGGTGCAGAAGCGCGCCATGCAAATCCTCAAGCAAAAGAAGATGTGCGCCGCCCGCCCCGCCGGCCAACCCGCGGTTCACAGGTCAAGGGTGATGGCTGCAGCGGACACAGAGAGTGAAGCCAGGCGGTGCGGCAGCGCTCACAGCTCGCGCGCTCGCCGGCGGGGCAGGTACGAGGCGCAGAGGGACAGGACGCAACAGCAGCAGTTCAACATGGACCAGATCGGGTTCACGAAGGATACGCTCGTGGACACGAAGGACACGGTCAACGCGATGAAGGCCGGCTTGAAGGACATGAAGAAGGAGTTCAAAAAGATGGACCTCGGTAAGATCGAAGACCTGCAGGCAACGTCGCCGCCGACTCCCCCTGCCCCCGCCGTCCGGACCCAGCCCAATCCGCCCACCCCCACCCCCCACCAACCCGCCACCACCACCACCGTTACTGGCGCCCTCCGCCGGCTCTTGCGCCGCTCGCTCGCCGCGCCGACGCCGCCGCCTCTCCCGCCGGTAGGACGACATGGCGGACATGATGGAGCAGGCCGAGGAGATACAATCGACTCTCGGCCGCAGCTACGCACAGGACGACGTGGACGACGCCGACCTCGAGGCGACGGCAGCTGGCGGCGAGGGGGAGGCCACCCGACAGCTTGTGTGAGGGCGCAGGGGGCGTTCTCACTTTAGGCGGAGCTGGCGGCGATGGAGGACGACCCGTCGCTCTTCTTCCAGGCGGAGGAGAGCGGCGAGGCGGACTACCTCTCGCTGCCGAGCACAGGCGCCGCCGCCACAACCGCCCGCGCTGAGACAGCCTCTACCTGTCTCTTCACCGCTCTTCGCCGCCCGCCCCGCCCACCGCACACTCAGCTGCGCGCACGCGAGGAGCGGCATTCGACAGCGAGGCGGGCGCCGTGTTGAGCACCTTCCCCACCCCCGCCTCTCCCAGGCACCGGCGAGGCATCCGCCACGACTGCCACGAAGGAAGAGGCTCTTCCGTCCGCCCAGCCCGCTTGAGCCTCTCGATCGCCGACTGACATAAACACTCTCGCTTGCTCTCCGACTCACTCTTCTCCTCTCCTCTCTCTCGCGTGCGCGCTCTCCCGCTCGACTCCTCCTCCCCGTCCCCGTGCGCCGTTCCCCCCTTCCCCCCGCCCGCCCCCGCCCGCCCGCCCGCCCCTGCGGGACGCGTGTGTGTGCCTCAACTGGGCCAAGAGGCAACTACAACTGTACTCTACCCCGAACTTTTTTTTTTCGAAAAAAAAATTGCTAACGCGAAAAACCGGCACACCAATCTCCCTTCCTCTCCCTATCCTTTCTTGGAGCTCTAGAGTCCACACCCCCCTGCCCCGGGATCGCGTACAAGCTGAGGCTACCGTAGGCCACACTAGCGTCGCTGGGGGTTCCCTGCCCTAGATGGGAAGCTGGCCGCTGATCCGAAGACCGACTGCACCAGGGCGCCTAGATATACTCAAGGTGAGCGAGGGTGAAGTTACGCCTTAAATGCCTGTCTCTCTACTGTGGACCTTACTCCGAGCTCGACGGCTCCTCCTATTCCCCCACCCCCCCTCCCCCCCCACTCTCTCCGAGTAAGGGCGTGCGCTACGTCCCCAAGGGGGGGGGGACGTGGGGGGGAGGTGTGACTTTTGGGTTGTGGCGTTTGGGTTTTTGTGGGGCACCCAAACGGTTTCGGTTTTCCTCCTTGGTGCCCCGAGTAGAGCGCGATACCCTCTTCTAACTTTTCTTCATATCTGGGGCCTCCGGCGCCAGTGCGAAGTCTAGTCGCCTACGGGCACGCCCTCCGGGCATACTCCGAACTCCCACACGACAACACACGCGCGGCCGGCGCCTCTCATGCCCTTCTCCACGCACACCGCGTGAAAACTGCGCGTACGTCCCCGCGCGCACGCAAACACGCGCAGCGCCATTTCAGAGCTGTGCCATGTGCGTCTGCCCTGTGCTGGCGCCCCATGGCCGTCCCGCGCCGCCCGCACCAGCTGCGCGCCCCTCGCACCACCAGAGCAAGCCGCACATCCACTCACGCCGCGACGCGCGCGCCGCAGCACACCTCACCAGCACACCTGCGCCTTTTTGCGCCCTGTGCAGGCTCTGCAGACTGCTTCTGGCATCCCACAAGCGGCTGTACTAGGACGCGCCGCGAGTCCGAGTGCGACGGCACCGCGCAGGCCCAGGCGCGCACGCACGCCCGCACGCGCGCTCGCTCATCCGCCCAGTCTGCTGTGCACAGCCTGTCAGCCTGCCTGCACACACAGCATACAGCACCATGTGCACGCATACGCTTAGACGCAGCCCGCACCCCACTACAATAGCCTGCCTCACGCCTCACCACGCCGTCTCGCGCACACCGCCAGCAGCCCGATCAGAGAAACTGCAGCGCGCGCCTCTGCACGCCTGCAGCTTCTCTGCATTCTGAGACCTTCTCAATCCACCCCGCCGCCGCGCCTCCCCGGGCACACACCGCAGCAGTGAAGATGTGAGTCGAAGTATGGGATATCGACCGAGCCCGCGCCTGCCGCACACGTTTCCGTTTCTTTTTACTGCCATAAGCATAAAAAGAAAAAACCGAACTTTTTTTTTTCGACGATGCGAAAGACCTTGGAGCACTTGGAGTGCAGTCGGTAGCCTCACATAGGGCCGGGGAGCTAAATAAAGCACACCTGCGGGCCAGATGATCGGGATCGGGTTACGGGCTAGAGCCTATATAGACTTCTATAGAGGCTAGATATAGAGAGCGCCTAGAGCCCGCTCGAGCCTCTCGTACAGTGCGAGGCGTGGCGATAGAAATCGGGGCGTCGGCATCCAGCAGCCGATTTCTGTTTCGGCGAGGGAAATCGGGCGAGCCAGCAGCCGATTTCTGTAAGCGATTTCTGCCAAAATTTTCTTCGGCGCTGCGCGCCGGTCACTATACGGTCTAGATACTAGTACACTAAAAGGTTGCCCTGAGATACGAATTCAATCCTCCCGCTTAACCTTTATTTCGTGTGTGCGTGCTCGCTCGTGCCTCGTGCGCCGAACCAAGTTCTGCTTCAACAAACCCGTCGAGAGGCCACGTCACGCCGGTGTCCCCTTTTTCTGCATCTTTGTGGGTGTGGCAGCCCACTTTGCCAGTCCCTAGAGGTGTCTTTGACATTTGACTTCGATGTCTGGTGGGGGACGATTTATGTCTGGTGGGGGACGCGGGTGCTCAAAGGTTGCGGGCGTGTCACCACTCGCGCCTTCGCTCTCGACACTGGGTTCTGGACATGCAACGACATGCCGAAAAGGGAGCGATCCGCGGCGCAGGCACGCGCTGAGGCCGTGTATAGACGCGCCAATCCGGATGATAGGGGCGATCGGGGCCGTGACCGCAGGGCCGAGAAGGTCGAGTACAGACGCAGACTCAAGAAAACGAGAGCGGAGGCCGCCGCCCTCGCGGTGCCTGACGCTGCTCCTGCGGCTCTCGTTCCCGTCCCGATTCCGTCTACCGTCCCTCGGCCACGGGCCCTCGGCCAGCACGGCAGGGGCCACCTGCTCGTCGCGAGGCAGCCGAGCTTGGCACTTCCGCCGCCCCTCGCCGCTCTTCCACCTACAATTGCTCCTCGCCTCGTCGCTCCGATCCCGCCTTTGGCGCCGACCGCGAGCCGGTACGGCGGCCTCGCCCTGCGCGACATCGCCTTTGGCAGCAGCCAGGGTCGCCTCGGCAAGGGCGGCCAAGGCACCGTTAGGCTTGGCCGCCACTACGGTGGTCGTCTCGCGGTGAAGCAGCCGCTGCGCGCGAGCAGCGCCTTCGCCTCCGAGTGTCAGATCGCGGCAGCACTACACCATGAGAACATCATCTATGTGATGGGCTTTGCATGCGCCCCGCGCGAGACGCCGTTCCTCGCTCTCGACTATGCCGACGCAGGGACTCTGGGAGATTTGTTGATCGGGGATCAGAGGGGCGAGAGCCGCTCCCTCGGCGTGCAGATTGCAAGAGCAATGTCGTACCTGCACACGCGATCTCCCCCCATCGTGCACCTTGACCTCAAGCCATCGAACGTGCTGCTGTCGGCGCGCTCTGAGGGGCTTGTCGCTAAGCTGTGTGACTTTGGGCAGGCGAGGCGACTAGCCGTTGGGGCGCAGCTCTCGCACTCAGGCACGCCGGGTTGGCGGGCGCCCGAGCAGGTGCGGGTGGCCCGCGACTTTGCAGTCGTGCCGCTTTCGCGTGGCACCGACGCCTGGTCGCTAGGGTGTGTCCTGGCTGCGCTCGAGGCGCCGTCGGGCGTCTGCGACCCGTACCACTTCGCCACGGGCGACGCGCCAGGCAAGTGCGACTCGCGCCTCCGACACGAGCTCGACGCAATCGTCGCGAACGGCTTCACCCGCCCGTGTGTGCCCGATGAAAGCCGGCTTGCAGGTGTGGTCAGCGCGTGTACGCACGCCCTGCCTAGCGAGCGAGCGACGTGCGCGTGGGTGCGCGCCGAGCTCGAGCAGCTTCTGCTGCAGCCGTGAGCGCAGAGAGTGATACACCAACCCGGTTCTCCTCGCCACCTCTGCGACCGGCTTCGCGGCGATGGCCGTCGCCAACCTAGATCAGGCTTCGCCTCGCCTTGTCGCGCGCACGTTCACGTTGGTACACACCCCGTCTCTGCGTCTCATTCAAGTCTTGGTTAGTTCCCCAGCAGATCTGATCCGTGACCTTGACAGACAAGTAGATGGGAGGCTCGGCGTACTGATGCTCGCTGCAACGTCCGGTGCCTCCTTCGGCGGGCTGCTACCCTCTGCCTTGCCTTCCACCCACAAGCTACTCACAGCAGGATACTTTGCTTGCGCGGTCACGTGCAATGCCTTCATCGTGCATGTCCGTACGGGCGACGAACGCATGCCCTCCTTTCAAATGGTGCACGGCGAAAATCCCCTTCGTCACGTCCTTCCTCTCGGCCCTGGGCCTGGCTGTCTCGCGAGACGGGGAGAGGGTGGAGGCGGCAGCGGTGGTGGAGGATTGGGCGGCGGAGGTGACGGCATCGGAGGCGGTCGACGGAGGCGGCCTTGGCGGCGGTGGCGGGACTGAGATTACGATGAAAGGAATGGACTAGTGTCAGAGTGTATACAGGTATATAGTACTACCAGGGTGTGCGGAGTGAAAGTGTCTACCAGTCTTGACTGTCTAGTGTGTAGTGTAGTGAGAGCGAATTAAGGTTTAAGCTCTCAGCAGCCAAGATGAACCTCAGGCTCAGCACGCAGAAAACCTCTCGGCGACTCGCGGCCACTTACGCCTCTTTATCGTAAAGAAGAAACGCTAGGAGAAACGGGGCGAATAAACACTCAGCCGCGCCAAACCCCCGACGCGACGGCGTTAGCGAAGACGACGAGCACCCCGCCGGCGATCTGCAGCGGAGCGAGCGACTCGTGCAAGACGAGCGCGGCGATCAGCGCGGCGCAGACTGGCTCCATCGCGTACACGAGCGCCGCCGTCGAGGCGGCGACGGCCTGCTGCGCGTACGACATTGCCCACGTCGTCGCGCCCACTACCATCAGCCCGTTCCAGAGCGCTGCGGCTCCGAGGCGCCTCACCGCGGGCGGGCCTGCCTGCGAGAGCCACAGGTGCGCCGGTTGCCCGAAGCCGAGCGGGAGGGCGAGAAGGTCGAGGAGCGCGTTGGCGACCACCTGGCCGGCCGCCTGGAGGCAGGGAGGCAGGGAGGCAGGGAGGCAGCCCATCCTTGACGTGGCCCTCCGCTCTCTCGCTCTCAAGAGATGCAGGCTGCTTGCAGGGAGGGAGAGGGGGGTGCGGTGCCGGGAGGGAGGGAGGGGGAGGGAGGGGGGGAGGGAGCCCGCGCCTGCGCCGTCGGGTCGACGTCGCCAAACTCGGAGAGACGGAGGGTGTGTAGCGCGTAGAAGGCGGCCGACGCCAGCGAGAGGCCGATGCCGTAGGCGGCGGCGTCGCGGTCCGCGGCGGGTGCATCCACCTGCAGAGCACCGGGCGAGGCAGCTTCCCAGTGGTGTCGCCGATCGCCAGGTGCTCTCTTCTGTGCAGGGACGTTGATATCCCGGTGGCACCTCCGCCGGAGCGACAGTGAGCAGCACGATGCCGCCCAGGGCAAGCAGGCTCGGCAGCAGCCGGGTCGCAATCTGCAGAACGCGGCTCGAGCCGGGCGGGCCAGAGTCGAGCAGAGGCACAATCACCACCGACGCCTAGCGATTGGTGCGGCAGGGGCGGTCCCGTCTCGCTGTGGGTGGGTCCTGCTCGAGGCTAGGCACGGCGCGTCGGCGGGCGCCTGCACGAGGATGGCGTTGACGGTGGCGGAGGTGCCTTGCAGGCCGAGCATCTGCGTCAGCTGCCCGAAGAAGAGGTAGACGCCGAGCTCGCCACTCGCCCACGCCGCCCGCCTCCGCCTCGAAGGGTCGAGGATTGCATCGCACCTGCAAAGTCGCCACCGCTGTGAGCGGGTGCTGTGCAGTACATGAGGCGAACGCCGAGAGCCAGTGCACCCGTCTCGGGTAGTGCAGCCTCGCACCCACCACACGGCGAGAAGCGTGGCCGCGCCAACAACGTGGCTGAGCAGGTTGATGATCAGCGCAGGAGGCGGCTCGCGCACCGCCAGCAGCAGCTTCATCGATGGAGTGAAGGTGCCCCACAGAAGCGGAACGGCCAGCAGTGCAGCGAGCCGTCGGACCTCTGGGACCGATCGTTTTACACTGGCGTCGTCATCCGACTTCGCGAAACTCGTGTCGTCCTCCGCATTTGGCGATGGGATGAGCAGCTTGCCTTCGTCCTCCGCTATGCGCACCGGCATGTTGAGTGGCAAGAGGTTGCTGTGGACAGCGGGGCGACACGCTTAGTTTGAGGGGGCGATGTGTCCCAACTTGTCATTTGTCGTGAGACCGGAGAGCGAACCGTGGGCTTGAGACAGTGCATGCACCTCACCACCTCTTTCTCCCATTGCCGTAAGCTAAAAGTTATGCTAAAAATTACTACGCAAGCGGTGCATCTCAAGCGAAAGCCTCGATACCCAAACGAATGTCCAGCACGCGTGCACCATCGTCCGACGACGGCGTTACCCGGAAGGGCTGCCCTGGAGGCAGAGTCAAGCAGTCCCCCTCGGCGAGCGGCACAGGCTCGCCAGACTCCCCGCCCCCCGGCGCCTCGACCGTGGCGCCGCCGCGCGCCACAAAGAGGATCGTCATCGCCTCGTCGTGCACGTCCATCGCCTCGTCCTGGCGGCCGCCCTCGCCACCTCCACCACCACAAGCCAGCGAGGCGCCGGTCCGGCGGCCGATTCGCACGCGCGCCAGCCCCGCCGTCGCCTCGCCCACCCCGCTCTCGAGCCACGAGAAGGAAGCGCCAGCCCCGCTGTCGCCCCGCGCCTCCTCTCCTCCGCCGCCTGCCTCCCTCTCCTCTGCCGCCACGTGCCGCACGAAGCGCTGGCCGCCAAAGAGGCCCTCTCCGCCTGCGGCCACCGCCCGCCCGCCCGGCAAGGCGTGGTCGTGGTCCGCCAGCGTGGCGTGCTCCGCCGGCGCGCTCACCTCGAGCACCTGCGGCAGTGTCATGGACGGGTCCTCACGGCCCTTCCGTGCGGCGTGCCGTGGACACGTGTGCCGGCCGGTCCTCGAGCCCGCGAGAGCAGCGCAGCACGCGGTGCCTGATCGTGGGAGGCTGCGTCACAAAGTCGCCCGGCCGCAGGACGAAGGGCGCGCCCTGCCCCTCGTAGACCACCTAGTGCCAATCGCTTTGTTGGCTCGCTGCCGATGCTCAGTGAAATCCTCCGATGATCCCAGCTTTTGGTGCTGCCTCCACCCACCCGCAGACGATGTAGATGAGCTGGAAGCGTACACGGTGGTAGTGCACCCAGTCGGGCACCTCGCCGCCCTCCTCGATCCGGATGAGGCTCACGATGAGAGATCCGCCCGCCCTGTCGGGCAGCAAGTCGCGATAGAGCATCCCAGCGCGACCCACGCCCCAGCCTCCAGCGCCTGCCGCCCGGCTGACGTGGCGCCGCGGGCGGAAGCGCGGCAGGTGCTGCAGCGGCAGCGGCGCGGTGCGGTCGAAGCCAGCAAACGGATCGGCGGCTGGCACGTGAGCGGAGCAGCCGGCCGGCGGCCCGTCGCCTGGCGGCAGCGTCGAGCCGGCTGGCAGTCTGAGCGACAGCGGGACCGCGGGCGCGTCACGGCAGAGGTACAGCGACAGCCCGCCGCCGCACACGACCGCGTATCGCGGGCTGTCCGCCGGCCCAATCTCTTCGACTCGCAGCAGCGGCGCTCCGCCTTCTGCTCGCAACGAGCAGAGCCAGGAGAGGCGGTCGTCGAAAGCGCTCCCGCAGCTAATCACGACAGACGACGGCGGCGGCGTGCTGAGAGAGGCGGCGGCGACAGAGACTGCGCGGAGGAGCACGACTCGCAGGATGAGCATGTGCGGGTTTGGGCCTAGAAATAGAGCGAGAAAGCGCCAAAGCATAAAGCAGTCTCTCACATGACAAGCGATCCCACACGATTGCGAATGTGGGGACTACATGATTACACGAAGGGTGGAGGGGCCCGTCTGCAGAGCTAGGCGGCGCGGGCACCCCCCACTCACTGGGGCCGAGGACAAGGAGATCGCTTAGCATTTCGAAGTCATAAGCGCCAGGTCTGACGAGCTGGGCTTGTGGCGCTCAGCTAGGTCATGCACACCCTCTGTGCGGAGCCGAGCGGAGCCGAGCGGAGCCGAGCGGAGCCGAGCGGAGCCGAGCGGAGCCGAGCGGAGCCGAGCGGAGCCGAGCGGAGCCGAGCGGAGCCGAGCGGAGCCGAGCGGAGCCGAGCGGAGCCGAGCGGAGCCGAGCGGAGCCGAGCGGAGCCGAGCGGAGCCGAGCGGAGCCGAGCGGAGCCGAGCGGAGCCGAGCGGAGCCGAGCGGAGGCCGGAGCCGAGCGGAGCCGAGCCCAAGAGGCGTGCCGATAGGTATCACCAGCCAACACAAAACAGGGGGACTGGCCTTGTTTTTAGCTGAATCCACCGTTTTCGTGAAGGAAGTATAGGGTTAGAGGGTTAGGGTTAGGGTTAGGGTTAGGGTCAGCGAGTTCAAGCCGTTGTGCAGGTCCTAAGAACGGGCCGCTTGGGTCGGAATGGAGAAACTAGCGGTCCGTCGAGGCCACCTCTCGGTGAATGCGCCCCGAGTTCTTCGCACTTTGGGTTAGCCATAGGGTGTTAGGGTTAGCGTTAGGGTTAGGGTTAGGGTTAGGGTTAGGGTTAGGGATTGTTGTCGTCGCGCCGCTCTCGATATCTGGTTAAGACAGGGACACAGGTGACACACCAAAGCACGGCTGGGTGTGTGAGCAGCCGTGTTGCACTGTGCGGCGACTATTTGTCATCAGGAGCGCGCCGCCGCCCCTACACGGCCGCCGCCGCCCTCCCGAGGACAGATAATAGTCAAAGTCGACGAGTGCGCCTCGGCCTCGGTATCTCAGCGGCAGAGGCGATCTAAGAGGCAAACCAAAGCACGGCTGGGCGTGTGAGCAGCCGTGTTGCACTGTGCGGCGACTATTTGTCATCAGGAGCGGAGCCGAAATGGATGTGAGGTTACTGACTGCACTCCAAGTGCTCCAAGAAAGCGCAAAACAACACAAAGCAGTCTCTCACATGACAAGCGATCCCACGATTGCGAATGTGGGGACTACATGATTACACGAAGGGTGGAGGGGCCCGTAGTCTGCAGAGCTAGGCGGCGCGGGCACCCCCCACTCACTCACTGGGGCCGAGGACAAAGAAGCCGTTTGTCGCTTGCTTGTTCTTTTGCTTGTTGATATAATCGGTACGCTCCCTGCGCGCCTGCTTGTTGATGTTTTCGGCGTCGCCCGCCACCGCCGCCTTGGAGATCTGCTGCGTGTGGTGGACGACGAAGGAGGAGGCGCTCGCCGACGCCGCCCCGTACACCGTCCGGTCCGTGTTGGTGCCCGCCGCCTCCTTGGCGAACACGTGGAGGAACTGCTTGGTGGGCGGGGCAATGCCACCCAAAGAGTGTCCACGAGCAAGCCGCGTTTGGCCTTCTTGACCCACTTCGCGTCGTAGTACTGCGCCCCCCTCTCACAAGAAGAACACGTTTTGAATCGTCCTGCCCCATTTAGCACTTTTCTTCTAATAAATAAACAAAGAGTCGTAGAAAATCCAAAATAAAAACAAAAATAAATACAACGGACATCCCAAGCTAGGGCTGGGTCGAGGACAGACACGTCCCCACCTTTGCAGGATTTTGCAAAAGCGAGGGGGGAGGGCGCATCGCCGCGCGGAGAGGGCTGGGCACAGGGCACAGGGGATCTCTCTCGCATAGGATATGCACTCGGCGGCACCGAGGGCAAGGCTGGGCGTCCTATGTTTGTGCTCCCCCCCGGACCCCTCGCTCTCGGGCACTAACCATCTGACCACTCATCGACGGGGCTTGGCGAGCGGCCGCGCTGCGGGGCAGGGCTGGTGAGAATGGGCTCTGGCCACTCGCCCGTGCGGTTGTAACCGCGCATCAGCCGAACGGAGGCCTCGACCGCCCCTCGCGGCAAGCTCTCGAGCATCTCGAGCAGCTCGCCCGCCGCCATCGCCGCCTCGAACTGCTCCCTCATGCCGAGCGCGCCGCAGACCTTGCGTACAGCCTCTTGCTGCACCTCGTCCGGTAAATCGGTGTCGTAGCCGGACGAGTCGGCGGAGGAAGCCCGCTTGGCGGGCGGCGAGTCCGGTGAGGGAGAGCGCGACTGGCGTGGGGGCCCGCCGCCGCGCGCCGAGAGCGCGTTCTTGTCGACGAGACGGGGTCCATTATCGGCGCGGCCGCGGCTGGTGCTGCCCTTGCCGCGCTGCTGCCGCCCGCGCTTCCTGCCCGGTACGGGGACAGTGAAGGTGCAGCCGGGCCCGCAGGCGCGGCGGGCTGGCCACCCGCGGTGGCACCCTGCGGCTGCGATGCGGCTGAGGCGGCGTACGTCTTGGGCGCCGGCTCCGCGGCTGGCGGCGCGGCGGCAGGGGCGGGCGGCGCCGCAGGGCTCGCGCTCGCAGGCGGCTCCGTGGCCTGCGCCTGCCGCTCGTGGCGCACAGCGCGCTCGAGCTGCGAGTGCGGGTGCAGCTGGACGATGACGTCGCCGTTCTGCGTGGCGGTGAAGGAGACCGAGTACGGCGCTTCGCCGTCGTTCTTCTTCTCCGCGTAGACGAGCGCGTAGTCGCACACCTGTCGTTGGTATATTGTTGGCAAATCAAGACACAGAGCTCACACACCTGTCGGTCAGTGAAGATGGTCTCTATGCAGCGCTCGGCGGAGCCGACATAAGAGAGAAAGCGGATACGAAACAAGAACACAAACGCGGCGTGCGTTCGCCATGGCGGCATTTTTCTTTTTGTGTCGGCCTCGCTCGGCTCCGCTGACCGCACGAATGTCGCTCTCCGACCTGATCCCCAGCTTCTCGGCAAGCGACACGGCTGCCGATGTCACCATCACCGCCGCCGACATGGAGGATCCGGTGCTTCTCGCCGAACTCGCGGCCATCATGGGCGAGGCGCCGCCGCCAAAGCCAGCAGACCCGCGGGAACGGCTCGCGGCGCAAGCAGAGGCGAAGAAGCGCGAGGCGCTCCAGCAGAAGCGAGCGGGGAACACAGCCGCGGCCGGCAAGGCCCTGCGCGAGTACAAGGCGCTGCAGGCGCAGCTGGACGCAAAGGCGCCGCCTGCAAAGGCTCGCGCTGCTGCACCGCCCGGCGATGTGGATTTGGCGAGCCTCCTGAGCGGCGCCGGGTCGGACCCGTCGAGCGTGACGGTTACCGATGCCGACATGAACGACCCCGACCTCCTCGCGGAGCTATACGCCGTCACGGGCGGCCTGCCGACTCCAAAGGCCTCGCCGCGCGCCTCGGGAAAGGCGCGAGTCTCGCAGCCGCCGCCGCCCTCGCCGCGCGGGAAGAGCCGCGCCGAGGAGGACGAGATGGCGGCGCTGCTCGAGGCGATGAACGGCCCCGCAAAGGGAGGAGCAGCCCCTCCCTCGCGCCGCGCCAGCGCCTCCCGCAAGGCCGCCGCGCCGGCCGAGGCTCCTCTCGACCCAGAGCTGGACGCCCTGGTCGCGCAGGTCGGACCTTCCAACGCGCCTCTCGCTCCGCACAGCCTCCCCTCGTGCACCTCAAGCCGCTTCGTCCGGTCGCAGATGAACGGCGACCGCCGCGTGTCCCTCAAGCCGCCGCCGACGGCGCGCACCGAGACGGACCCGGAGATCGCGACTCTGGTGGCAAGCATGGCGGCCGGGTCGAGCGCGGGGTCGCTCAAGCAAGAGGAGGAGCCCGACCCGGAGCTGGACGCGCTCGTGCTCGCGATGAACAAGCCCTCCCAGCCCGGGGCCGGAAAGAAGGCGCGGCCGGCACGGCGAGGGGCGGCGAGGGAGGCGGCGAGGAAGGCGGGGAGGGAGTGTGCGTCGCTTGGCCTGCAGGCGAGCAGCAAGGAGGAGCCCGAGATGGACATGCTCCTCGCCTCGATGGGGGGCGGCAGCGGCTCCTCGCTCGCCTCCTCCTCGCTCGCCGTCACCTCCCCGGCCGCCGCCGACGCCGCGGCTCGCCGCCGGCTGCTCGAGTCTGCGGAGGGCAGGATGCTTCTCGAGGCGGGTGCGCGGCCGAGAGAGCCGCGGAGAGAGCTGCGGCAGAGAGAGCTGCCGAGGGTCTCTCTTCCTAGAGAGGCGCTAGCCGGGCTCCGTCACGCGGCACCAGTCCCCCAAGGCAGCCCTGTACCGAGGCAGGCGTGCCCGAGGAGGAGATCCTCGCCAACCTCGCGCCACCGCCACCGCCACCGCCCGCGCCGCCGCCGGCTGCGGCGGCGGCGGCGGCGGACCCAGCGGCAGCCGCGCGGCTCAAGGCGCAGGCGCTCCAGCTCAAAAAGGCGGGCGACTCGACCGGCGCACTGCAGCTGATGCGGCAAGCAAAGGCGCACGAGCACCGCACGGCCAGCCGAGCGTCCGCCCACCCAAATGAGAAGGCGACTCTCTCTCCTCGCTCTCTCCAGGCGCTCGAGCAAGGTGCCGCCGCTTCCGACCCGCCGCACACCAGCGGCCGCAGCGGGGGCAGCGGACGCAGCAGCGGCGGCGGCAGCGGCAGTGGCGCCGTCGAGAGTTCGCGCAGCAGCGGTGGGGGCGGCGGCGGTGGGGGCGCAGGAGACGGGGGGGACGGCGCCGCCGTGGCGGCGCGCGTGGCGGAGCTCAAGTCGCAGGCGCTGCAGCTCAAGAAGGCGGGCGATGCGGCCGGTGCGGTGGCGGCGCTGCGGGAGGCCAAGCAGCTGGAGCTGGAGGCGGCGAGGCCAGCCGCTATGGTGGCTGCTGAGGAGACGCAGGCAACGGCCATGGCCAAGGTGGCCGCTGCAGCCGCCGCGGTGATGGAGACCGTCGCTGAGGTGGAGCGGCAGAGGACGCAGGCGTCCGAGGCCGAGGCGGCGGAGGCGGCGGAGGCGGAGGCTGGGGAAGAGCAGGCGGAGGCAGACGCAGAGGCGGAGGCGGAGGCGGAGGCGGAGGCGGAGGCAGATGCCGAGGCAGATGCCGAGGCAGAGGCAGAGGCGGCCGCAACTATGGCGGCGGCGGCGGCGGCGGTGGCGGCGGCGACGGCAGACACGAAGGCAGGCACGCCGGCGGCGGCAAGCCCAGCGGCCGTGGCAGGCGGAGGCGACGCTCCGGAGGATGCTTTGAGTGCGCGCATCGAGCAGCTCCGGCGCGAGGCACTAGTGGCCAAGCGAGAGGGCCGGACCGACGAGGCGCTCGCAAAGATGAGGGAGATGCGCACTTTGCAGCGCGAGGCTGCCGGAGAGACTGCCGACCCTGGCGGCGCCGCGGCCGCGCCGGCACCAGCGGCTCCACCGCCGCCGCCAGTCCCCCTGCTGAATCCCGACCTCAGCAAGACGGAGATGGAGGTTCGGCTGGCGTCGGCGGTCTTGGGCGGCGCTGTGGGCAGCAGCGTCTCGTGCTACGCCGTCTTCCGCTGGTCCCTGCCCGCCCCCGGCAGTGGCGTGGCGAAGCATGGCTTTGTGAGCGGCGCGGGAGAGCCTGTCACCGTCACGACCGAGGCGGTGCCGGCGGGGAGCCGCTGCCCTGCGTGGGGGCACAGCGGACGCGTGGCGCTCGGGACGGACCCGCGTCGGTCTCGCTCCGCGGTCCGTCACTTTTCAACGGGCGAAGGCCGCTCCGGGAGGGTCGAGGTGTGGGGCGCGGCCGCCGGAATGAACAAGTTCCTCGGAGGCAAGGACGAGCTGCTCGGCGCGGGGGAGGTGAAGGTGTCGGCGCTGGTGGGCGCCGCGACCGCCTCGGAGCAGGTGGCCCTCGCCGACGCAAAGGGCCGCGGCGCCGGCACCGTGGACGTGACTCTGCGCGTGCGATACGCAATCGGAACCGCCACCGAACCGGCCGCCGCCGCGTCCAGATCCGCCAGCGCCGGCGTCCGCCGGGAGGGTGCAGGTGGAGGCAGCCGCAGGGGCGGCGGCGGGGCGAAGGGCGGCGCCGGAGCCGGCGGCGGGCCGGCGGTTCCAACCCTGAGCGAGGCTGCACGCGCTGCTGCGGCGATGGTTGCGGCGGAGGAGGAGGACGACATGGGGTACGCGAGTTCGATCGTGAGCTACAACGTGCTGGGAGCCGAGCTCGAGGAGCTGAGCAACATGCGGTCGGCTCTGGAGGCGCTCGCTCCCTCGCTCCCTCGGCGTTCGGTGCTCCCTCCCCTAGCCGCCTCCCCTGCCGTCCGCCGCAGGCAAAGGGCGCGATCATACCGACCACATTTGAGGGGAGGCATCAGGCTCTCGAGTTCCGCCAAGAGATGCTGCAGATCCAGGCTCGCGTCTGCGGCGCACGCCCCCTCCCTCCCTCCCCGCCCTGCGCGCCAGAGGCTCCGCGCGCCGCACCGCAGGTTGACACCGGCCAGCTCTCGCTCGAGGCGTACCTCGACCAGCTGCGCGCCGCGGTGGCCAAGGAGAAGGCGCGCTTCGCCCAGCTCAAGGCAAGCGGCCCGCCCTCCCTCCTCGGTACTCCCCTTCTTGCTCCCCTCGCCCTCGTCTCACGCCGCCCCGCGCTTGCGCACCTCTCTCCACATCCCACGCCACTCGACGCTCCAGGTGGCAGCCAAGGAGGGAGCCGGCGCGCTCGTCACCAAGGCCGCCATCCGCGCCAACAAGCGCGCGCAGACGATGCAGCAGGAGATCGACGAGGCGATGGCTGCGGGCTGAGCGTGGCATCGGGAGCCGTCCGGGCTCGCAGCCCGGCGGCCGTCTGTGGTGGAGCGTCGTCGTCTTGTGGTGTGTGTGCTGACGATGGCGGTCTGCTCTCGGCGTGTGCTCGAGCGAGGAGAGAGCAGGGTAGCGTCGTCCGAGAGTCTCCCTCTTGGCGCTTGGAGCGCGTGTTGTTGTTGAGAGGTGCGGTGATACCGGTGTTGTGTTTTTTAGTAGGTCAGACTTATAAAAGAGGTTCCTCGGGCCAGTTTGGGGGGGCAAAGCCAAACTCTGCCCGCAGCCCGGCCCCTAGAACCCCAGGTAAGGCCCAGGTGTGGGCCTAGGGCATCAGAAGGGACCAAGAAAAAATACAATATTCTTACCTTCAAGCCCCCCTCCGAGACTAGAGACAGAACCCAGAGATACATACGTCAAAGGGACTGCCCCCCCGCCCCCACTTGCCCTGACTGCACAGGATGCGTGCCCCGAAGACGGCGACACATAGCGGGGGACACTCTGCGCAAGGAGAGGGTGCGAAGCCAAGATTGGGGTTCTAGGTGGTGGGACCATGAGGGGGGGAGGGCGGGGTCCTGTGGGGGTGAAATGTTGCGCGGCGAATTCGAACCTACCCCCTCAGAAGGGACCAAGAGGAGTCCAGTCTGAGCCATAGAGCCCATGTCCCCCGAAGGTCGCGTTCAAATGCCCGGAACGGACGTTACAGTGGTGTCCGGCCGGCGCGCGATCACCGAGCTGTGACGCTCAGGAAGACTGATGAGGTGCTAGTTTCTTTGGCCAGGCCTGGCCTTCCCCCCAGGCTGGATCAGCTGAGCAAGGTTTGGGGATAATCCTATAGTAGGATCTTCAGATATTTTGACGGATGACCGTAAATGGGCAAAAACGGGGTGATTTCGTTAGGATTGCGAGCGGGTCCCCTCGCAATCGTGCGAGCGGGTCCCCTCGCAATCGGTGCATGTTGCTAGGATTGTGAGCGCAGATCTTTGGATCTTTGGTACGATTGTGAGCGCCGCCGCTCATAGTCCTACAAGATGTAGGATTGCGAGCGCTACTGCTCGCAATCCGGAGGCATGTTGCTCGGATTGTGAGCAGAGCTGCTCGCAATCCTAGACTTTGCTCGGATTGCGAGCGCGCTGGTAGTAGTCGTAGGCGTCACCAGTCACGATGGGTGGGAGCGGAGCTGCTCTTAGTCCTAGAAGATGTAGGATTGCGAGCGTGGGTGCTAGCAATCGTACACAGTGTTCAAACTTTACCGGTATGAGACCGGTATTTGGCGATATTTTGATTAGTTTTGGAGAGTGGTATGGTATAGTGGTATGCGAAAGTGGTATGCGGGGTTTTCATTAGTTGTAGCGGCTGTCGGTGTGGTCCCGGGGGCGAAACCATGCAAAAGTGCGGGTATTACCCGGGTATACCTGGGTTTTTCCATCCAGGTATACCCGCAAAATACCCGGTATTTTGCCGATTTTGCCGGTTTTGCCACCAAGAAGGCACTCCGACTCGCTTTGATTTCCGTGAGGCAACTGGTATCCCGTACCACTTTTTGATTAGTGCAGGCCTTGGGTTTGATTAGCCAAAAACTCCCATACCGGTAAAGTTTGAACACTGATCGTACAGAGATGCTACGATTGCGAGGAGTGCTGCTCACAATCCTTCGACTTCTAGGATTGAGAGCGAGGCTGCTCTCAATCCTAGCTTTCTACAAAAAAGAATGTTCACCTCCAGTGCTGAAGTGCTCAAGGCTGTGAACGGGTAGTCTCCCCCCATCCCCAGGGCCTCCAGGGCTCGCACCTCAACCTCTCACAGACCAGCGCATAGCGCCATAGGACGTATTTTCTTCTCATAACAAGGCTGTGAACCCGCCAGCGGAGCACCTTCTCGAGGGCAAGACCATCCACCGCGGCGGGCCTCACTACATGAGCGCTCGGGCGCGCGACGATGGCCAAGGCGGCGCTGTCGCCGACAGGGCGAACCTTGTCCAGCGCGACTACGAGGCGCGGGCGGCGGCGCTCGATGCCAAGCCGCACGTGCAGGCATGGAACAACGGCTCGAGGGACGCCGTTTCCTCCGTGCTGCGCTCGTTTGGCACCGTGCGCAGCCTCGTTGTCGGGGCCTACGCGGAGGCATCGGACGACCTGCACCAGCTGTTCGACTGTGTGGTGGAGTCGGCATCCATGCAAGCAGCACTGGAGGCGGATCGGCGCGCGTAGCGCGAAGGAGGCGCGGTCCTACTTCGCTACGACGCTGCGGCGGGCGTGGCAGGCGGCTCCCACCTCGATGGGTTATCACTCCTGCGACTGCATCGAAGAAGGGCTTCAACATTCAACAAACAGGAATCGAGGGTGACCGCATGTCTGCATCAGACGTGTCATCCGTCCCGATCGTGACCAACCAAAGCCACCCCTCTTCTAAGATCCGCGCTTGCCCGGATCCTGAACCCTCTGCCGCTCCCACCCAGCCGTGCTCGCCGAGCCTCTGCCGCCTCCACCTCCGCCTTCAATCTCAATGTCCCACCCCCCTGCGCGCGGGCCTTCTAGGCCCGCGGGTAGTCTCCCCCCATCCCCAGGGCCTCCAGCCAGGGCTCGCACCTCAACCTCTCACAGACCAGCGCAAAGCGCCATGGACGTATTTTCTTGTCCCTAGCGGTTTTTCTTCTCCCTGTCGTGTGAGCCGGTGTGTGTGCCAGTCCGCGCCAGTCCGCGCCCTTGTCGTGCCAGTGTGCTGTGAGAGAGGCTTGCATTTTAAGAATTCTCCCTGCCGAACTCTCGCTTCGCCCCTCCGTGGGCTGCAGTTCCTGCTTGCTTGCTCCCGGCTCGCCGCCGCTTGCCGGTCCTTCGAATGAAGCTCCCACAGCTGCTTGCCGCTCTGCTGCTCGTCGTCGCCTCTGGTCTCAGATTACCGCCGCTCTCGCGTCGCGGTGTGATAGGCGCGGCGTTCGCAGCCAGTGCGCCGGCGCTCCGAGCAGTTGCCGCGTATGGCGAGGCAGCAAACCAGGCTCCGCCTGCGCTGGTGCCGTCGCCATTCTACCCCACCGGCGAGATGGCGAAAACGTGCGAGGTTGTCGCCGCCGGGCGAGAGGACGTCTGCCTAAAGCCGCTGAAGATGCTCAGCGCTTACGATGAGATGCGCCTTCGGAAAGCGAGCGACGCCCTCAAGGCGGCCGGTTCGTCGACGCCGGCGAGTGACGAGGCGGTCCGCTTGATCGGGCTGGTCGAGGCCAAGGAGTGGGCGACGCTAGCGGGCGAGCTCGGCTGCACGCAGCCCAAGACTCCAGACGCGGCGCCCAAGAAGTGCGTCACGAGCGTCGCCGGGCTCGACGTGGCAAAGCTCGCCGCCGCGGTCTCCAAGAAGGACCCGGCGCTCATGACGGACGCGCTTGTGAAGCTGGCGGCGAGCCTATGAGGCTCTCCGGGCCGCGGTTGGGCTTGGCGGGGTTCGACACAGGGCAGCATTGTCTGAAACATACTCTGGATAGGTGTGCGGTGTCTTTTTTGCGGCCGTGGCGTTACGTGGTCCACCAAGGAAAGCGTCACATGCAAACGCCTTGAGCTTGACGTCCAGAGAGGGACAGAGAGCCGCCTCGTCACCTGCCATGAGAGGCCGGCGCTTAGGGCCGGCGCGGGAAGAAGAGAGAGGATAAAGCCGTACGTACGGCTTTACCCCGGATACGTATAATACGGCTTTAAAGGCCGATTGTGTCAGGATTGTGTCCCGCCCGCCCCGAGTGTGTGCGGTGTGTCGTGCGTGTGCTGTGAGCTGTGACCTGACACCTGTGTGCTGTGTCCCGCGATCGATGGGTGTGGTGGGGGGGTGCGGGTGGTCTCCCGGTGCACCTCTCTGCACGGTGGCGTGGGCCGGTCGCGGTTACGGGTTACTTTACCTCAGGCCCGCGTGCGCGCTGCTGAGGCCTGAGCTGCTCTCCGCTCGCTCTCGTCTTTCGAATTCTCCCACGAGCCACGTGCGGCGACGACTCCGAGTCGGAGTGTCCGTCCGAGACGACGCGCGTCCCCCAGCATGATCGAGCATTGTTGCTCGCGGGGGGGGGTGGCCGGTGGCGGTGCGCTGTGCCTGTGGGCACTATGCTGTCCTGTGCAGCTGTGTCCCCTCCAGCATTGATGTAAGGAAGTCGAGAAATATTGAATATATTGCTCCAATACTTAGAGATGCGATCAATATCAATATATATTGCAATACTTAGAGGAGAGGCTGGGCCTGGGCTGGTCAGGACCGTCAGGTTGGACTCTCAACATATCAATCCTGGGCTTGAAATTGGCTCTAAATCGTTAAAAACGGGCCAAAATCGCTTCGATATCGCTTAAACCGCATTAAAAATCGCCTTGAACTCGCGATTTTTTCGATTTCAGCCCACATCTAGGCAATGTTTGGGACAAATGTCGACATTGGTGCTTTTGGAGGTTAAAATCAGCGATCAATATGTCAATATATTGTCAATACTTAGAGGGGATGCTGTCAATAATCAATATCAATACTTACAGGGCGAGAATCAATCTTTCTCGACTTCCTTACTGCTTACATTGTGATGTGCATGTCGGTGCATCATTTTGTACATGCGACCCTCATGCCTTCGTAGTGTCGTATACATGTGTGTGCTACGCGACGTACACGGAGAACACACACAACCCGCCGGTGATCCACTCATGGGGTACTGGTATCTCCTATATATCGCGACAATCGTACTGACTCGCGGGTATGTCTCTGGTCGTCTCGTGTCTGTGTCCAGTTGTTGTTCCATCCTCTCCGCTCAGCGCCGAGCTCGGAGGATACTCGCGGCACCACGTCGATCCCGTCGAAGAGCAGCGCCATCTCTCCCCGAGGTGCCGAGCCGTACAGCCTACTCGCCGTGGGACTTGTCGACTCTCTGTACACATGCACCGCACATCAACGTACACGCTGCGCGACGCGCCGCCGGTCATCCACTGCAAGACGCCGCCTGCGCCATGCGGCATCAGCGACTCTAGCCGCGAGGGACCCCGGCCGTCATGCCTCTAGAGCCTCAAAAGAAGTTCCGAGTACGCCGCCGCCGCCGCCTCAAAGCGCTTGCTCGCGTCGACCGTCTCGTGTCCAGCCTGCCCTTTCTCCTCCTCGGCCGCCTTCTCCTCCTCGGCCGCCTTCTCCCTCTTCTTCTTGGCCTCGTCCCACTTCTTCTTGGCCTCGGCCTCCTCGCGCTCGGCCTCCTCGCGCGCCTTACGCTTTTGGCCCAACACCTTGTCCACCTCGAAGAACGCTTTCTTCTTCGCCTTCGCCTCGTTCGACGCCGCGTTCATCTTCGCCTCCGCCGCCGCCTCCTCCTCCTCCTGCGCCTGCGCCTGCGGCGGCGGCTGCGCCTGCTGCTGCGGCTGCTGCTGCGCCTGCGCCTGCTGCTGCGCCATCGGCTCAGAGCCACTCGCGGCAGAGCTGCCGGCGGCGCCGCCCGTCACAGCGGCGCTCGCAGAGGCGCTCGATGCGCCGGTCTTTTCAGCGGCTTTCGCCGCCGGAAGCTTCTCGGCGGGCTCCGTGGCTCTGGGCGAAGCGGTCGTTTTTGCGGCGGCGGCGGCGGCGCCACCGCCGCCACCCCCTCCGCTGCCTCCTGCGCCGCTGCCGCCGCCCGCGCCGCCGCCTCTGCCGCCTCCGTTCCGAGGCGGCGGCGGCACCACCGCCGATGACGCTGCCGCCGCCGAGGATGACGCCGCCGCCGACGCCCCGCCTCCGCCGGCACTCCCGGCACGGGATAGAGGCCTCGCTAGCATCGGCCCACCGCGGGGCAGCAGCGTCGGCGGCGGCAGCGGGCGCTGCACGTGGATGGCTGCGACGTTTGCAGCGGTGAGCGGGTAGTCGAAGACGCGGAGCGAAGAGACGCCCCTCACCGACTGCTTGGTCTCGTCCTTTCGCTCCAGCTTCATCCCTGCCGTCCCAGAGACCTCACGTCAAGAGAGGTCACGTCAAGAGGTGCGGCTGACCGGACCCCTCTGGTCATCACTCCCCGCGGTGTCACCCCCTAGTCGTCGTGGTCGTGGTGGGTGGGTAGGGGAGCGCGCCTCCGAGAGAAGTGATGCTCGCCGCGCACGCGCGGGTGCCAACCTCGCCCCAGAGCTTGCCGTCGACGTAGAGGCTGGTCTTCCAGCCGCCGCTGCCGCCGCCGCCGCCCGCCAGCTCAGTCACGACGGTCATCGCAGTCCAGCCGTGCAGCTGGTCGAGGGCGACAGCGCCGGGCACCTTTTCAAACGCGTGGAAGCTTCGAGCGAAGATGCCCTCGCCCGGCCGCCAGTCGGGTTGCGGCGGCGCGATCAGGCCCGCCATGACTTCGACGGCCGGCGCCGCGGGAGAGCGGTCGCGGCGGGGGCGTCCTCCTCCCTCGCCCGCCTCCACCTCCGCGTCCCCCTTCTCTCGCTCGCGGCAGACGAAGGTCAGGAAGTTGACCTCGTCCCCGCCCTCCCCGCTCTGTCCAGCGAGCACCGTGTGCCAGCTTATTTTGCCGACCGACCGGTCCTGCGGCCACCACTTGCGCGGGTGCTCGAGCAGCGGGAGCAGCACCTCGACATCAAACGACCAGGCGTCCTCGCAGGAGGGGATCTCCGGGAGGAGGACGATGCAGTCGTCGTCGCCCAGCGTGCGGCGACGAGCGCCCTCCCCTTCGGCCACCTTCTCGAGCCCGTCGGCGGTCACGTATTTGTTGTGGGGCCAGCCTCCGTGCCTTTGCACCTTGAACAGCGCCTGCCCGCCCTCGCCGAACGTCACGTCCAGCGAGGTTGGGAACGGGTTTGCGTTGCACCTCCGGTGGTCCTCGTTCTCCAACTTGTACTTGATCGACCTGGAGTGCCCAGGCAAGACCTGCCCGGACGGGACGGCCTGCTCCATCCGCCGCAGCGCGTCGTTGACCGCGCCCGGACTGAGCGGATGTGACCGGCACGTCGGTGCGAGCCGAAACGTACCTGCCGAAACCGGCGTGCCGCAGCAGGGCGGAGAGCGAGACCGCCTCCACCATTGGTGATGAGACCAGAGAGCCTGTCGAGGACTGGGGACCAGAGAGTGGCGAGCGGGAGCGCGGGGGTATTTCTTTTTGGTTATTTTCAGCCAGAACGACGCTTCCGCGCTCGCCTAAGTTTCTTTAGATGTGTTTCGATATTGATATTGTTGTTTGTGGAAAGCAAGACACAGCGCTCTCACAAAACAACAAACACACACAGTGTGTGTGTGCGTGTGTGTACTCACTCTCGGGACTCGGCTACGGGACCGGCCCCAGCTTCGGCTGAGGGCTAACAAGCTGCCGAGCCCAAATCACTGTGAGAGTCGTAATTTCTTGTTGGTCTTCAAAAATCTCTCTCTCACTCACTCAAACATGAGTGAGTGTGGGAAAGCGAACGAGCGAGTGAGTCACTTTAAAAGGGGTCGATTAGGGCGGGCCACCCTGTCCAGAGGCAGAGGTGCCTTTCTGGGATCTTGCGATCGAGTCTATGCAGCCCTCGTGCCTCGGCCGTGTTGGGCGCTCCATTCCGTTTGGCAGCTAGGACCTAGGTCGGCTCAGGGCCCCGTCCACTTCCCTCCCACTTGGCGGTGAAGATGAGGAGATGCCACCCAGGCCGGCCAGAGGGCAAGGGCGGAGGGAGAGGGCGGAATGGGCGCCAAAAGCGGGAGGGAGTGGACGGGCGGGGGGGGATCGACGAATCGTGGAATGCACGGATGGGCGATGGAGAGGGCGGAGGGCGGGAAGGCCGGAGGAATAAAATCTCAAAGGGGAGGGCGGCGGGTTTAGCGCGGGGTGGGAAAATTCTTTTTCATCCGCCGGGTTTATTATAATCAGCAGATCCCCCCACCGAAGATGCTAGCCTTCCTCGCGGCCGCCGCGACGGCGTGGGGCAAGCCAGCGCCCGCCCCACCGCCGCCTCCTCCCCCCGGAATGCCTACCTCCTTTATCGTTTGCACCGTGATGTGGTTCATTCACGGCTTCGTCCTCGATGTCGTCGTGATTGGCGTGCTGCCCTTCCTCTCCGCCTCCGCCTCGGACGCTCAGCGGGCTGACAAGTGCGCGCCTGCCCCGTGTGAACACGCGACCCCTAGCGTCCGCCGTCGCAAACGCCCACACCGTTAGCCAGCGCCCTTCGAGTCCCACTCCGCACCGCCGCCTCCGCCATCGCCGCTGTCGCAATGAAGTCCATCTGGCAATCCCTCGCAGGTTCCCGTGGGCGCTCGGCGGGTACTCGGGCTTCGCAAAGGTGCCCAACCTGGCGCCGACCCACCGCCGCTTCATTGCCGAGAATGCGGCGTACGCTCTGCTGCGCATTGCGCCCGCCTTCTTCATCCAGAATGTGGAGGTACTCCTCCTCGCAGTCATCAGCTACTTCATCGAGGGCGTGACGATCGCGTGGGAGATCTCCTGCTACAAGGCGCCCGCAGGCTCGATGGTGCCGCAGACGCTCATGGCTGTCTTTGCGTCGATCGTCACCTACACCGTCACCAACAACGCCGGTGGGTATATCCCCAACGTGGACGCCTCTCTGCTGACCGCGATGCAGGGCTTCTGCGCGGCCACCTGGGGCTGCTGGCTG